TTGGGGGTGGGATGGCAGGGGTAGGGGGGCGGTTGGGCTGGGGGAGCTTAAAGGGCTTTGCCAACCCAAATGCTTCTGTGATTCCATGATTCTATCCTATGATCGAGAGTGGAAGCTCTCCTGGGTTCCTAGCAGGCCTGGAAGCTCCCTTGGGAGCCTGGCGTGGGTTACAGCAGAGGAGAGATGGTCTGGGTTAACTCTTCCCTACTCCCTCCTGGCAGCATCGCTGGCAGCGTGGCTGAGAGCTATGACACAGAAAGTGGATTTGAGGATGCAGAGAGTTCCGATGTGGCCAACTACGTGGTGCGATTCATCAACCGCTTTGTGGACAAAGTCTGCACGGAGAGCGGAGTCACCAACGAGCACCTCAAGGGGCTGCACGTCATGATCCCTGGTGAGGCACCTTGCAGCAGCGCTGGGGAATGGGCGGCTGTGTGGTCTCGCTGGGGATTCTTCCAGACCAGCTCAGGAGATGGTTCTGCAAGAAGCAGTGGGATGGCCAAGAGAAGGCGCACGCCCAACGCGATGGGGCGGGTTGGCAGCCTGGTGGGTGGCGTGTGGGGCAGGACTTTGCTTGCGGTCTCTCACTTCACATTTGTCCACAGATATTGTGCAGATGCACATAGAGACACTGGATGCCGTGCACAGGGAGAGCAAGAGGCTTCCTCCCATCCAGAAGGTAGGGACCTGGCCCGCTGCAGTGTGTGTGTGGAGGTTCTGGTGCTGTGTGGGGCTATCAAGTCCCCTTCCGCGGTCTGCGCGGGCCTGAACTTCCCATCATACGTCCCTGTAGCCAAAGCTGCTGCGCCCCAACCTGTTGGTGGGTGAGGAGTGCGTGATGGAGGGGCTCCGTGTGTACCTCATGCCTGATGGACGGGAAGAAGCTGCTGGAGGGAATGTTGGTGGTCCACCTCTCCTCCCTGCAGAAGGAGCCATCTTCCTCACCACCTACCGCATCATCTTCAAAGGCACTCCCACGGACCCCCTGGGTAAGGGTCCCATGTGCACCACATCCTCTGTCCCCAGGGGTTGGTGATGCCGGGGAGGAGGTGGCTGGTGGCTCTCCTGGAGCAGTGGCCACAGCTCATCCTGCTGCAGCAGTTGATGATAAGGGCCTTGGTGGTTGCCTTGGGTGAGTGACCAACTAGCACTGGGCCTTGCTGGGGGTTGCCACAGCCACCACAAGCTTGGTGGTTGCTCCCAGGACTACGAAAGGGGCGGTTGCTCTTGCTCTCCTCCTTTGGTAGATGATAAATGAGTCATGCCCACCCTAGGCATCACCTACAGGTCGCCATGGGCTGGCTGCAGGGCTGGCCGCCTTGCCCTACAGGGGTCTCTGTGGTGACGGCCACCGAGGGTGGTCCAGCGTGGACTGGCTTGCACGGGGCTGGGGCAGCGGGATGTGGCTCACCTCTTCCCATGCTTGTGCCCAGTGGGGGAGCAGGTGGTGATCCGGTCCTTCCCCATCGCCTCGCTGACCAAAGAGAAGAAGTTCAATATCCTGGCCCAGGTGGATCATTTCATCCGGGAGGGCTTGCAGCTGCGCTCGTGCACATTCCAGGTGAGGCCGCGCGGGGCTGCGGGCTGCTCCTTTGCACTGCGCCCTCAGCTGAGGAGCGTGTTGCTGGCGAGACCCAGCGGGTTCCTGGCCATGGCTGGCACCATCCCTTGGGATGAGGCGCTTGCTGCCCGGCCTGATGTGGTTTGGGGGTGGTTTTCCTGAGGGGAGCAAAGACAGCTGCTGTAGCAGGTGACTGCACCCGCGGGGACAGAGCTGGAGGCCTCCCTGCAGAGGGAGGAGTAGGCCGTGCTCCGTAGAATCATGGAACGGTTTGGGTTCACCCAGTCCAACCCCTGCCGTGGGCAGGGACACCTTCCACCAGACCAGGCTGCCCAAAGCCCCGTCCAGCCTGGCCTTGAGCACGGGGAGATAATTCGAGATAGCCAGCATGGCTTCACCAAGGGCAAGTCCTGCCTGACAAATCCAGTGACTTTCTATGATGGTGTGACAAAAACAGTGGACAAGGGAAAACCAACGGATGTCATCTATCTGGACTTCTGCAAAGCCTTTGACACGGTCCCCCACAACAACCTTCTCTCTAAATTGGAGAGCTATGGATTTGATGGATGGACTGTTTGGTGGATAAAGAATTGGTTGGATGGTCGCATCCAGAGGGTAGTGGTCAATGGCTC